ACGTGGCCTTAGGCAATGAGTCAAGGTTTCCTAAATTTTCCAAAATAAAACATTTAGGTGGCGACTTTGTATCTGGCAAAGTAGTCCATGTTTGGCACTTCTTTCAAAAAAATCAGTTTTCAAAAATGATTTGCCGGATTTGGACTCTTTGATGATTCATCGGTCATGCATTGCACTCTGCGAGATTAGATACAGGATCGTGACATTTTGAGTCCTGAACTGTAGTGAGCCCATATGAACAGAACGGGATTTCCCTCCCGGGACGTTCGGGGACGTCTACACCACCCACCCATGTTGTTGTGCTTTCACGCGCCTCCTTGTTTGGCAATCCTTTTAATTATTATTTTCAATTTTAATTTTTATGTGTTTTAGACTAAACAAATGCTAACAACTATTTCATGAATATTGTTTAATATTGAGAAAGATGTAGAGGTGTTTTGAAAATAGTGATTTTTTTTTTAAAAGTAAAAAATACTATATGAAATTAATAAGAAGTGTATTGGATTTGAAATTTGTTTGTCTTTTTTATTGTGCTGCTGAACATTTGTTTGCAAAATCTAAATTTTAAATATAATATTATTTTTACTAAAGATGTAAAATATACTTTTATTAAAAAAAAAGATTTTGAACATGGCTTTTACTTGTAATGAGTGATTTTTTATTTTTTATTTTTTTTTTTAGAAATTACAATAAAATGGAAACAAGACAAAAATATTGCAATTTAGTGGGAGTATTAAAATAAATTTGCAACATATATGGAAATTCAAAATAACTTATAAATACAAGAAAAAATAATAAATTTGTTAGTATTAATTCATTCTTTTTTTTTCTTTTTCTTTTTTCTCTTCTCTCTCCCTTGTAACCCAAACCCGTCTCAAACCCAAACTCTATCACCTTGGTCATCAGCAATCACTTCTTTACTTCCCTCCATCATTGTAGCCTCTCTCTCAATCTTTGAAACCATCATATTTCAGCATACCCCTTTCATCGCAATGGTGTTGGCAATAGCCACCGCCATCGTTGACTACCATCGTTGACCACCCTCTATCACGACCCAAACCTGCCTCTAGAGGTTTAGGACGTAACTGGCTAGTAATCATGAAATTACCTACGGCCTCAAACAGAATTATAAAAATATATTTAAATATACGGGGCCTATAGTAGAAGCAATTATGAAATGTGTCCATTGAGCTGTGCATACATGCCATGATCAGAAACATATATATTATATCTCACATCGCACTTCATATCATATGTCATAACATTTACACACATTCATTATATATACATAAACCAAAAGCAAAACTTATAACATCATAGATTATGCAAAACCCAAGCTTCTCAAGCTTGGCCAAAAGAACACCAGGGCCCCGACGTAGAGGTGCAACTTGGGTGACTTTACAAAAGGCTGACTCCGATGTGGTCTCTAATGTGGAACTCCCTAATGCTCACCTACATATACATAAATAAACAGAGTGAGCTGGAAGCCCAATGAGTAATCTCCATGTAAGGGGTTAAATGAATAAGCCTCATGTCTTATTTAATCAATATAAAGATCTTGACATATTTAAACTCATTTCTAAAGCACATAGTATCAAATACTGTTCATTGATCCTTTCGTAGCTTACCAAATAGCGAAGTTCATACTTTTCTTTTAATCACATTTATAGAACGGCCTTTGGCCCATCATGTAAACAGAACGGCTTTGGGCCCATCAAATAAACAGAACGACCTTAGGCCCATTATACATCAAAATGGCCTCGGGCCCACTCATATATCAAAGCGGCTGTTGGCCCAATCATGTATCAAAATGGCCTCAAGCCCACATATGACAAAATAACCTCAGGTCCAATATATCATAACGGCCTCGGGCCCAATCATGTATCAAAATGGCCTCAAGCCCACATGACAAAACGACTTTAGGTCTAATATATCAAAACGGCCTCGAGCCCAATTATATATCAAAATGGCCTCGGGTCCACATATGACAAAATGGCTTTGGGTCCAATATATCAAAACTGCCTCGGACCCAAGCACATTATAGCATAAATGGAACGACTTTAGGTCCATATTGCACATGTCGTATAATATTCATAAAACTAATTCATTTAGATTCAAACACAATTTCAAACTAAGTCACAGTACCTAGATCAAAATGATTATTTAAGAATGTATCTTTACATTACTATTACTCATCGTGATTTAGGCCTTAATTAACTTGGTGAATTACCATACAGGACAATTGTCCAAGATTGACATCATACAGAACATTTATAGCGAATCATTAGCTTATACAAAATGTCAAAGACGGATCGTAGACAAATAACAGTTACCGAGGGTAAAAGTATATTTTTCCAATTTATCATAATCGTTGCTCAAAAGAAACTCATTCATTCTTGTCAAAACATACTTTCAGAAACTTGCTATAGCATAATTACTCCGAAGATTTCAAGCGTATTTTATCATTTCGAAAACACTCGTCAAGGCACATAATATATACAAAGCATAAGTTTCACAATTCCAAAGTATTTCATATGAAAATACCGTTACAAAGAAATTACTCACAGTGCACTACAAGAATCTGCACTTTTAGCGACCACTTTCTGTGACCAATATAAAAGTTGGTAGCTAAAAGTTACCTTTTGGCGACCAAATATTAATTAGTCGCGCATGATCATTATTTTTGGCGACCATATATGAGTTGGTCGTAGAAGGTCATATTTTGGCGACCAAAAAATGAGTTGGTTGCAGAAAGTGGTATGGTATTGGTGACAAACTACAAATTTGGTCGCGGAATGTCACATTTTGGCGACCAAAAAATAAGTTGGTTGTGGAATTGGTGACCAAAAGTTTGGTCGGCAAAAACTTATTTTTAGCGACAAAAAATATTTTAGTCGACATATATTGAGTTTTGGCTACTAAAACAATGTAGTCGCCAAATGGAAAATAAAAATTTATTTTTTATCTTTTGGCGACCAAAATTTTGGACGCCAAAAAACTTATTTTTAGCGACTAAAAATATTTTAGTCACCGTATATTGAGTTTTGGCTACTAAAACTATTTAGTCGCCGAATGGAAAATAAAAAATTATTTTTTATCTTTGGCGACCAAAATTTTGGTTGCCAAAAACTTATTTTTAGCGACTAAAAATATTTTAGTCGCCGTATATTGAGTTCTGGCTACTAAAACTATTTAGTCGCCGAATGAAAAATAAAAATATTATTTTTTATCTTTGGCGAACGAAAAAAAATTAGTCGTCATATATTTATTTTTTCCGACCAAAAAAAACTTAGTCGCCAAATTAATATTTTTGCCGACTAATATTTTAGTCGCCGTTAATTAAGCTTTGGCTACAACAAAATTTTAGTCACCAATTATTAACATTTGCCGACCAAAAACTACTTTTGTCGCCAAAGGTGTGAAAATTTTAGAGGGAAACCATTTAATATTGTCCCTACCTGTTCTCTGTTTAAACAAATCATATTGTTCTCTCTCTTACACAGATTGGACTTACTATTATTGCGGTTGACTTGATCTGTGCTTTGAAAATTGAATCTTGCTCTGTTTCTTATGTGTTTCTTTTGATGGAATTGATGGAATCTGAAGTACAAGAAAATACACAATTGCCGACGAAAAAAAATTTGGTAGCAAAAAATTGACATTTGCAGACCAAAAAAAATTTCATGGCTAAAACTTGACACTATTACCGACTAAAAATATTTTGTTGCCAAAAAGTGATTTTTAGAGACCAATTTACTATTTTAGTCGCAAAAAATTTTCATTTGGCGACAAAAAAAAAAAAAATTGGTCAGCAAAAGTCGAAGAGGGAAGACCAAAAAAAAAAGTGGGAATGAAAAACTTTTAGTGACTAAAATATTTTGGTCGCAAATAATAGCATTTGCTGACCAAAAACCAAATTTGTCACCAAAGGTGTGAAAATTTTAGATTCCCCCTCATGTTCTTTGTTTAAACCAATCAGATTGTTCTCTCTTTCATACAGATTCTCCTTCACCACCAAACCTCACCCCACCCCACCTCACGTCACCTCACGTCACCTCACCTCACTATCAACGTTGTCGTCCGCCGTTCTCGCCTCTCCACTGTTACCACCGTATGTTGCACTCTAGGCCCTTTTCTTGTATGCAAGCCGTAGCCCCTTTTCTTATGCATTGTTCCTTGGATGTTGTCTCTCTTGATATCATTCTCTCTATTTCAAGCTCTCTTCGTTGCCATGGTGATCTGAAGAACAAGAGCGGTATGAATCTCTCTCTCACACACACAATCTCTTTCTCTTTCTCAATCTACCTATAAACACTTATAAGTGCCAGGATACTTATAAGTGCCAAAAGTTGTGGAATTGGCAACCAAAAATTATATTAGTCGGGAAAAGTACAAGATTTAGCTACTAATTCTTTTTAGTTGGGGTATATTGATTATTGACGACTAAAAATATTTTAGTTGCTAAAAATTGCACAATTGGAGACAAATTTTTTTTTAGTCGCCGTATAGTTAGGTTTGGCTACTAAAATTATTTAGTCGCCGAATGAAAAATAAAAAATTACGTTTTATCTTGGCGACCAAAATTCTGGTAGCCAAAAATTTATTTTCAGCTACTAAAATATGTTTTAGTCGCTGTACAGTTAGTTTTGGCTACCAAAATTATTTAGTCGCTGAATGAAAAATAAAAAATTACATTTTATCTTTGGCAACCAAAAACTTGGTCGCCAAAAATTTATTTTCAGCAACTAAAATATGTTTTAGTCGTTGTACATTTAGTTTTGGCTACTAAAATTATTTAGTCGCCGAATAAAAAACAAAAAATTTAATTTTATCTTTGGCAACCAAAAGTGTTAGGTCCCTGTGTTGTCAAATCCGGAGACAAAATCTTGTGTGGATTCAAAAAACTAAAATATTTTGAGGAAGTCATTTCAAATGATTTATAAAATTAATTGGCGACCAAATTTATTTTTTGTCGCCAAAGGCGTGAAAATTTTAGAGGGAAATAACGCCCGCCTGTTCTCTGTTTAAACAAAAATAGATTGTTCACTCTCTAACACAGATTCTTCTTCATAACCAAACCTCATCTCTCTTTATACCCATTCCTCTCCCTCTTTAAAATACGCAAAACAGAACCACTGCCTCCCCTTCCCTCCGGCGACGCGCCTCCTCCTCACCTATTTTGCCACTAGAACCACCGTCTCTCCCTACATCTTCTATTTCATCTCTCTCTCTCTCTCTCACACACACACACACACACACACACAGTGTTCTGATCGTAAAACCCTAGCCGATGGTGCGAGATACGGCGGCATCAACCATGTTCCGGTGTAGGTCTGACAACCGCAGGCCGAGATTTGAGTTGATCCACACAGATCTGTGAGTGATCCACACATATTGCAAATCCATACCCCATCTCTGTTACAGCTAATTACCCTTTCCATGGAAGTAGTAGAGTCTTCTTCTTCATCTTCCCTCTCTACATCGGACAGAATTCATCAACTACCTGGCCAAACCCAAGTCAGTTACCAGCAATTTTCTGGGTATGTTACCGTTGATGCCAAGAACAGAAAGCTCCGGTTCTTGAAGCTGAATCAAATCCGGCTTCCAAGCCTCTTGTTATCTGGTTAAATGGAGCTACTCCAACTTCTTACTTCCTCATACACACCCACATTATGGGTATTTAGTTTTAATTTTAATTTTTTAAAATTTTGATTTTTATTTTGGTGGTAGGGCTTGGTTGTTCTTCATTGGGGGTTGGGGCATTCTCTGAAAATGGATCGTTTAGGCCTAGTGGGAAGGCACTGGTCAGGAATGAATATAGCTGGAACAGAGGTACTATACTATACTATACTTTATATATACCCTTACAAGTTATATAGATGATTTGGCTTCTAAGAATTGATTTCATGTGATTGTGTGCTTATTGATCCACAAAAACAAATATGTTGTATTTGGAGACACCAATTGGAGTTGGGTTCTCTTACTCATCTGATCCTTCCTCCTATGCGGCTGTAAATGACAAGATCACAGGCATGTCTGTCCAATTTTACCCACATTTTCCCAACTTTCTTCAATTTTCTTGAAATTGTTTTCTAAAAACATTTATCTTCTTTCTATGCTCAAAATACAGTCAACTTGTTCTTCTTCTTTTACACTTTTCATTGTTTAGTAGTAAGAATCCTATAATGGTTTAGTACTGAATACTATGTAAACTTTTCACTTTTTTGTCATTTTTATGTTTACTGTTTTTGTTTTCTTTTTGGGGGTTGAAAAAAGTCCCACTTTATACACTGCCTTGGAATTTTAGAACTTTAAATCTAGTTGTCTGAAATTTTTTGTATTATAGCCGGGACAATTTAATTTTCTTGCACAAATGGTTTGTCAAATTCCCACAATATAGAGACACAAGTTTGTTCATTACAAGAGAAAGCTATGCTGGTAATTTCTTTTCACTCAAAACAATTTAGTTTTTCCAACTGGAAAACGATTAAGATTAAGAGTTGAGGATTGATACTTGCTTTTTCTTTGCTTCCACACCCCATCTTTGTCCTGATAGTCGTGTTATTGGTGGTGGCATTGCTAGTTTGCTAATGGCTGCTAGCCCAATCCAAGTAAGAATTTATCTACATATATACACTTGTGATTCTTACTTTCAATTGCATACTAATTATGATAATTGAGCACTGTTCTGCTAGATGTTAAATAAGATGGTGAATCATTATGTGGAGTGATTGTAGCATGCTATGAGAAACAAAGGTTCTGCTTGGATTAATGCATTTCAAATGAAGAGATTTCATATTAAACTTTATAAAAATATGGGAGTGTTGATTATTATATATAGATTGACAAAAGGGGAAGATGGAGTAGAGTAAGAAAACAAAATTTAATTGTAAATTACCCAATAAGAAAATAACAGAAAAGAGAGAGAAGAGAAAAATAGTCATTTCTGAGTAGAGTAATGAAATTCTCTCTACTACAGTCCTATGGTAAAAATATTTTATGTTTCCTTCCTTCATGGATCAAAAAGATGTGCTTTGGACCCAGTTTATAATTTTTGTGCATGTCTTTATAATAAGTCGTTAATAGCTTCAAGATGATGCCAACCATTCTGTCATGTACAAACTTTGGTTGGCAATTTATTTGGTTCAGGTATGAAGCTTTTCTTAAGCTTTCAGCATTTTGAATATTATATAAATAACTAAATTAAAAAGTCATCTTGTGGCTTCTCACTCACAGTGCTTGTGTTCACATTCAACTAGTAGTGTCTTCACATCAAATCACGGAGCTACATGGTGTTTGACATTATGAAAAATTCTTGTAGTGTTGATTGTTTCTTTTTCCATTTTTAATTGTGTGCATTCATATCTGGAAATCATCAGATTTTTTTCTATTAATTTGCCTTGTGATTGCAACATCTGCCTAAAAGTGCTAGGATATTTAACTAGGGACAATTACTTGACAGTTGGGTCAGTGGAAAAAAATTACAAATTAATAAAAAAAAGTTTATAATATTGATTATTAATGTGTATAATGTTTTTCACTTTTTGGTAAATAAGTGTAACTGACACAATGTCAGTGTAATTCTCCCATTTAACTAAATTTCAGTTTCTTGTAGACACCACAGGAGTTGCAGAATGAGAATGTTCCCCGTCATCTTATCCCTCACAAGGTAATTTTCCTCTCACGACATGTAGTCTCTTACTTTTCCATTGAAAGTTTGTTTCTAATATTCATATTGTCTTTCACAGACCTTCTCTGGCAATCGGCCTTCTTTCAGCCTTCTACTTCTATTATTAAATGCTTATAATAATGAATAGGTGACCTTTTTGTGCTTTCATGAAATAGTTTGTGCATGTTGCTAATCATCGGAGGTTTTGAGAGTTCAAATTTGTTCAAAACGCCCCTTGTCTTTATAGCCCATTTAGTGGTCTGAAGTTCCCAGATGTCCATTGAGGTTACATGCATAATGTACATAGAATCTCTGTTAAAATTAAAAAGATGACCATGCTTGTTTTGATAGTGACCAAATCTAGAAGCTTTGTAGTGAGAATTTTACAACAAATTATAATCTTATAACAAATTATAATCTTGTAGTGAGACTATTATAAAAAATCCAGACGTTGCCAGATGTCCACTAGTTTTCAATGAAGGTCCGTGAATATTAGAATCTTAAAACAAATTATGCATTTTTTGTGGCATTCTACACAATGAATTCTGTAATTTACTGATCTACAATTTATTGTAAGTATTTTCTGGCTGCACTTTATTAAGTTAGTACACAAAGAATTTGGCAAAAAAAGACTTCATATTTTCTAGAAATATTTAGGTTATGTTTGGATCATGAATTTGGATAGGAATTTGAAAGGGAAAGGAAAAGGTGAGGGAAACAGAGAAAAATGTGGGTGGTTCTTTAGGACTTGAAAATTGTAGAGTTGGTGGGACTCTGGTTCTTTATTAGGACTTGAAAATATAAATTAATATATTTCAGTAGTTGTGTGCACTCAAGTTAATTATTAGCTGTCACTGCATTAATCCGTAATCCTATAAGAATAAGGCATCCTTGACTCTTGAAAACCTGGTAATCATTTTCACATTATGATTTTGTATATAAATGTTTTGTCAATTTTTTTTTTTTTTTTGTCATTTTTTCTTAACATGGAAATGTTATTTTTTTTCTTTTAGTTTTGGTGCAAGGAAATTGATTAGATTTATCTCACATTCATCTTCATTTCATGTTAACAGTAGGAATGGTGTGAAAAACAAATGGAATTCTCTCTACTGTTTGGCAAATCGGAAAAGACTAAAGCAATGAAAGCTGGTATTGCTCGCCATGCAGTACTTGAGGAAGAGGTATGCTTATGAACTCTAAAGTAGATATCATTTAAATTATTTGATATTCTTATCTTATCCCGAAAATTATAGAATTCTTTCATGTGAGCATACTCTTTGTTGACTGTGACTATCAAAATTCTTATCTATGCTTGTAAAATAGTTCTTTTCTAAGATCATTCTATTATCTTCTTGGCGAATTTATTTTAACTATGACAGTTAGTTTAGTTGTTTTCTATCATTGAAATCTTGCCAGAAAATTTTCTTGCAACAGAAGTAACTTTTCAAGATGGAAAATACTTTTTATGAACATAATGGTACCAAGATTTAGAGTCTGTGTGAGGTTACACCTTTTTTTGTTTTTGAAAAGTTCTGATAGAATTTAGCTTTTATATCTTTTGCCTTGCATAATAAATATGGTCATGGAGCTGCTTGAGATTTTCTATAGATGGTATTTGGATTGAGTAGTTTTGATTTGAGCTTGGAAATCAAGTTTGATGCTGGAATTATTGAGTATATGGATCTTGGTGAAACCATTGTTGGATTTTATGACCCAAGGACATGGACTTCAAATAACAGGTGAGTGACCTAGGCCTAGATCATAACGGTCACCTAGGCCTAGATTAAACAAACTTGTTAGAGCAAGCGGCGCATCGATAGGATATACGGTTAGAGATATAGACAAAAAAATGTGAGAGAAAAAGGCAAAAACAAGCCGTATGGGGGCAAAAATTGGAAATGGCACCCAAACTGCCCCGAGATCATCCTAGTCACATCGGCCTAGATTAAACACATTTGTGAGAGCAACAAAACATCACTTTTTCCACAATTCCTGAAATAGTAACAAAAACAAACATTTTTGTAAAGAATAATAAAAAAAGCCTTAATTGAGTAAAGACCACAAATGAAAAAGTCTGGGGATGTGGTTGGTATTAAAACTAGGCGACAAACATTGCAAATGATGATATTGATAGAATTGTAGTGTTGATTGGATATATACATATGAATGTTGTTTTATTTATAAAATAGTATTGATAGTCATTTAATTTGTTCATATTACCTTTACTTTCCTTTGACATTTTTCATTTTTTGTCCAATTTTATAATCATTTGATGTGAAAATATTTTCATAAAAAAAGTACCTGACAATATTTTTGTTTTTCTTTGGTACAGATAGATGAACTCATGCATGAAGCTGAATTGTACATGATTAGTTGGCACTTGTTACATTTTTTGAAGGATTATATATTTTTGGATAGATGTGTATAGAAAATATTTAAATAGACTAGTAGTTATATTTTTAGATAGATGAGCATGGATTAAAATTTAAAATATAATAACAAGTACTTGTTATGTTTTAAATTTTTTATGCTAGATAGATGTGAATTGGATGATTATATTGATTACATGACTTTTAATTGAATGGTTATGTAGTTTGGAATTACTTGTGGATGGAAATTTATAATAATTGATGACTTTAATTAAACAGATTAAGGATTTGATGATTTATGTATTTTGTTGGATGTTCATGATTTAGTTGATTTTGTTGGTTTAAATGATTCCTGCAAATTACAGGTTATATTAAATGGATTTGATGGATTATTATATTTTGATAAACAAAAAGAATTGAATTGGCAACTAAAAATTAGTTTTGTTCCCTCTTTTGGTGACCAAGTGATTAGTCGGGAAAGATGAGTAATATTTTTGCCGACTAAAGTTGTTAGTCGGTGTATGACCACTCACATTTGGCGACCAAAATGTTGGTTGGCAAAAGGGTATATTTGGCAACTAAATAATTAGTCGATAAAATTATTAATTTTAGCAACCAAAGAGTTTGGTCGCGCAAACATTACTTTTGGCGACTAACGGATTTGGTTGGGAAATGTTACTTTTGGCAACTAACCGATTTGGTCAGGAAATGTTACTTTTGGCAACTAACATGTTTAGTCAAGGAATGGTATAATTAGTGACTAACATATTTAGTCAGAAAAATATCAACTAAAGTGTTTTAGCTACAAAATGGATTAGTCGCGGTAATTATATATTTAGCGACGAAAAATTTAGTCAGCAAATAGAACTTTTTCCCGACTAAAAAACTTTTTAGTCGCTAATTACTTTTCGCGATCCTCAATTGGCGACCAAAGTGGCGACAAAAAAAATTAGTCGCGGATAACTTTTGCTGACTAAAAATGGACTTTTGCCGACTAAAGTTTTAGTCGGCAAAAGTGTGAATTCTTGTACTGGTGCTTGGTCGGATGATACTCCTTAACGACTTAGTCTGCAGAAACAAACCAAGCATAACATTTCAAAACACATTGCCTTCAATTCATACAATCAATTTATTCGTTACATATCTGTTCAATTGTTCCCCATTCTTTAATTTCTCGCAAGTGATTAATACTAATCTTCTCTAAATGTGAATCACGTACAAAGCATATGACAAAGATGTACTTTAAACGGTCCTAAATGTTCATGACTTAAATTAATGTTTCCTATAATAATTTCATATATTTTTCATTGAAAATATCATGTTTACATATTTAAGGATTAAGGAAATAGCAAGAAGCGAAAGGAAACTAAGTTACGGTAGGAAATGGCATGAAACAGTTAAAAGAAAATAAACATCCTTCACTAATTTGAGCATATCTATGTGTGTACTTAGAATTTGGATGTAAGACCACCATCATTAGAAACTAGACTTCCAAGGCTTGAATTTATGCTCACGAGTCGCTTAAAATGGAGTTTGGATAAATGAGATATGTCTTTTTGAATTTGGGCTGAAATAGGGGTTCCGCCCGTGCGGAAGTCCTCACTGCTCGTGTGGCCCAAATCCGTTCGAACGGACACACTGGTCGCTCGAGTACCCAGATAGGAAAATGAAAACCTCTGTTTTTCTTCATGCTCCGCGCATGTGGTCTGGGCAAAATCAGACAGTCTGAAAATGGTTCAAAGATGCAAACTTCCTAAACTCATTTCCAAGTCCAAATCAAAGCAAAACTCACTCAAAAACATGATATAGTAGCATGATATAGGTGTAATTTCACTTTAAACATATCAATCTTGCATCAACATTAAATTCATTGACTCATCTTTTTCATACAATCATGAATGTCATACACAAGCTCAAAATACACACAAACATAGTGAATCTTCCAACAAATCTTGGCTGTATAAACCATCTAGAGTTTGCTTCATGGATCAATCACAAGAATGAACTCAAATCAAACAAAAATAAAGAGATTTCATGATTTTATTTCAAATCCTTACACAACTCAAAACCCTAACTCAAAATTCTCAATTTCTTCTTGATTTCATGCCAAAGATGAGTTAGAGACAAAGATTATAAGTAGATTATCAAACCTTAACTCAAGTCCAAGGTTTACCCTTTGATTCTTTTCCAAAACCCTAGCTCTTCCTCTTCCTCTCTCTCTAACTCACTCTAGCAAGCTCTCAACCAAATGATGAACCTAAGAGCCAAATATATAGATATAACTTAACTCATAAAACTTAATTAAAACATTACGAATTGTAATTTTTCAAAATTTTACTGTAGTCTCTAAAAATCATGCTAAATACAAATATGAAATCAATTTTGGCTTATCGCGCCTCTAAGGCTTTTAATTTCAGTTCAAAGTTGTAATTGTAACAGATTTTCATACATTCAACAGATATTATTCCAAATTCACATAATTCATATACTTAAACTTGCAAATTCATATCAAACACATAATCACATGCATAATTAAGCATAGTACGAGTTGGGTTATCACAGTCTTCCCCCATTTAAGAAGTTTGGTCCTCCAAACTTGTTTACCTTGCGTCGGATACAAAGCAGACATTTCAGTCTTATATCATTCTCCTTTTTCCAAAGGGTTTCTCCCATATTCAACTTTGCTACAAAAGTTCAATTCAAATCTTAATCGTTTAACGGTTCACAGTTCAATGATCCATCACAATCATCCAAGGTTATTTAGAAGTCTTTAGAAATGGAATGCAACTTTACAGATCAATATCCCATGATAACAGATGCAACGTTGAAGTAGTCAGTCACATGATGTTCATAATTCATATATCCCTATATCCCATAGAATCAATTGTATAGTACAATAATACTAAAGCAATCGTTCGTAAAACGTATTAAATCCATATACTTCTACGTAGTTGAGGTTTTTTATCCCAAATAATGTTCACATTCAATATAATCTGTTGTTAACAATTCCTCCAGCATCATATTTAAATACGGTGACATGGATACAACCATTCTCTAAAACATCAAACCCATGGTATCAAAATATGTTCCCAATCAATTGGAGGTATGAGTTTATATATTGTTCATATCGGATAGTCTATTATTGGCAGTCCAAATAAAGTCTTCAAAACAGATTCAAGTTCTCGGTTTATCATTTCTCTTAGTAGACATAACCTGGTCATTTATTTATAAACAAGTCATAGTCCCCCCGTAACGAAATCAAATCAAATGCAATTCTATCCCATCATTTTCAAACAAAGTTTTGTCCTAAAGGTCATAATCAAATCATCCAGATAGACGAATGGGCAGTCTCACAATTTGTTTTAAGTTCATTAGTTCTCACAGTTATATCATAATCATATTGTGATGGGTCATATCATCTCAAAGTCATATCAATGGGTATCATATCGTATTAAATATAACAGTTCTCAAATAAGTCCACACGTAGGCGTACAGGTTCACAATTATGTATAGCATAGAGTTTACTATCCAAGATATTAAACCAAGTCACATAATCATTATAGACTTATAGTTTCGATAGTCTAGTCAATAGGAATAAGTAACATAACAATCATTCTTAGCAAAGGTATATATATATTAGTCCAAAATTAAGTAACACTTAGGTAACCATTCACATCAATAAAGGTACCTTGATTAGCATTCACTCTTGTAGTAACAAGTCTCGTGATTAGTACTAATCCAGCTGAGTTAGCGGTAGGTCTATTCATAGTCTGTCCAGTCTGAGGACAATTTCGCACTGTATGGCCCATCTTACCACACCTATAACAAGCTCCAGAAAATTCAATAACAGATTCCCTAGTGCTTTTTCCCGCATTTAGAACAAATCGGTGCTAAACCATTCCTTTGGGCGAGTTCATCTTGGCTCGATGTTCCTGACTTCGATTTCTTAGTCTTTGAAAATTCCTCATTCTCATCAGTACTTTTTCTTTTTCCCTTCCATACAGAAGATCGGTTGATATTAACTTCAGACATCAATGCCCAATCTAACACATCAATGTATTTTGTTAATTTCAACACATTAGCTTTCTCGTGGATTGAGTTTTGGGGTCCTCCATGGAACAGTGGTGGTTTCATTTTCTTGACCACTTTTGTCAATACGATAATTTGATCATCCACTTGATGTTCTTGCATAGGCGGTATTGGCACTGGGGGTAGAGGTGGCGGTTGTTGCCGTTGTTGTTGCCATTTTTGTTGTTGTCCCAAACTTTTCGCCATCTCATGTATCATTCTTTCTATTATGTCTAGTCATGAGGAGGTTAACTCCTCTAGTTTATCCCCTCTTATTGTCACTATTTTCTAACAGATACAGAAAGTTACACATACACATAGGCATATTTACAACTAAACACATACTTTTATATTCAGATTTCACATATTTTGGGTGCACAATTGATCATATACTTGATAGATGGAAACATATAGAACACGCATCAAATAAATGCATACATAACAGATGATTGCATACTTGTCAAATATTGCACACTGAATAATTATCAGATAAATGAACACTTAACAGATGAATGCAATCCTCAATTCCATTCTACAACTCTTATTGCTCAAATAGACACGTGTGTGAGATATAACTCATGCTCTGATACTACTTTGTTACGACCCAAACCTGCCCCTAAAGGTTTAAGACGTAACCAGCTAGTAATCATGAAATTACCTACGGCCTCAAACAAAATTATAAAAATATATTTAAATATACGGGGCCTGTAACAGAAACAATTATGAAATGTGTCCACTGAGCTATGCATACATGCCATGATCAGAAACATACATATTATATCTTACATCACACTTCATGTTATATGTCATAACATTTACACATATTCATTATATATACATAACCCAGAAGCAAAACTTATAACATCATAGACTATACAAAACCCAAGCTTCTCAAGCTTGGCCAAAACAACACTAGGGCCCCGACGTAGAGGTTCAACATGATCAGAAACATACATATTATATCTTACATCACACTTCATGTTATATGTCATAACATTTACACATATTCATTATATATACATAACCCAGAAGCAAAACTTATAACATCATAGACTATACAAAACCCAAGCTTCTCAAGCTTGGCCAAAACAACACTGGGCCCCGACGTAGAGGTTCAACTTGGGTGGCTTTACAAAAGGCTGACTCCGATGCGGTCTCTAATGTGGAACTCCCTAATGCTCACCTA